GGACGGAACCGTTACCGGTGTCCCCATTATCTGCCCCCCCCCCGCGACCTTCCCCTGCTCCCTCCCCCCTCCCGGTTCGGTCCCGGGTCTATAAATAGCCCCGGGCTCGGCCCGGCCAAATATAGCCCGGACCGGCACCTGTCCCAGGCCACGCCCCCTTGAGGTCAGGCCACGCCCCCGCCCGGGACACGCCCACTCGGGGACACGCCTATAGTGCTCTCCTCCCCCCACCTTGTGTCCCCTCTGACCCCTGTGTCTGTCCCTCCTGTCCCCTCTGTGTCCCTGTGTCCCTTCCCTCCCCGGTGCTGGTCCCCTGTGTCCCCCCATGGCCCCTTTGTCCCCTGTGTCCCCCATGTCCCCCGTGTCCCATGTCCATGCCACATGCCATGCCTTGCTGTGCCCCATGGCACCTGTCCCTGCTGGTTGTGCCCCATGGCACACCGTGCCCCTGCAGTGCCATGAAGCGTCCCATGGTGTGACAGGTGACATGCCCCATGTCATGTCCCATCCTGTGCCACTCCTTGCTCTGTCCCATATCCCACGGCATGTCCCACAGCTACATCCCATGCCCTTCCCGGTGCCCATCACTCATCCTTGATAGCCATGTCCCTTGCTATGCCATGTTCCGCGCCATCCCCGGTGGCCGTGGTGACATGGGGACGGTGTCGCGCAGGCCCGCCGCCACCATGCCCTTCAGCAACACCCACAACAAGTACAAGCTCAAGTACTCGGCCGAGGAGGAGTTCCCCGACCTCTCCAAGCACAACAACCACATGGCCAAGGTGCTGACGCCGGCCATCTACCAGCGCCTGCGCGACAAGGAGACCCCCAGCGGCTTCACGCTCGATGACGTCATCCAGACCGGCGTGGACAACCCCGGTGGGGACCGGCCACCAGCCCCAGGGTCCCCTTGGCCACCCATGGGGTCTATGGTGGCCCCTCAACCAGTCCCGGGTCCCCTTGGCCACCCGCAGGGTCCCCAGTAGTTCCTCAACCATCCTGGGTGTCTCCTTGGCCACCCACAGAGTCCCCAGTGGCCTCTCTGCCAGCCCTGGGGGTCCCCTTGTCCACTCCTGAGGTCTCCAATGGCCCCTCCACCAGCCCTGGGGTCCCCTTGGCCACTCCTGGGGTCTCCAATGTCCCCTCAACCAGCCCTGGGCCCCATTGGTCACCCATGGGGTCTCCAATGGCCTCTCAACCAGTCCTGGGTCCCCCTGGCCACCTGTGGGGTCTATGGTGGCCCCTTCACCAGCCCCAGGGTCCCCCTTGGCCACTCCTGGGGTCTCCAGTGGTCCCTTCACCAGCCCTGAGGTCCCCTTGGCCACTTCTGGGGTTTCCAATGGCCCCTCAACCAGCCCCAGGGTCCCCTTGGCCACCCATGGGGTCTATGGTGGCCCCTCAACCAGCCCTGGGGTCCCCTTGGTCACCCACAGGATCTCCAATGGTCCCTCCACCATCCTCGGGGTCCCCTTGGCCAACCACAGGGTCTCCAATGGCCCCTCTGCCAGCCCTGGGGTCCCTTTGGCCACCTGCAGGGTCTCCAGTGGCCCCTCCCCCAGCCCTGGGGTCCCCTTGGTCACCCACAGGATCTCCAATGGTCCCTCCACCATCCTCGGGGCCCCCTTGGCCAACCACAGGGTCTCCAATGGCCCCTCTGCCAGCCCTGGGGTCCCTTTGGCCACCTGCAGGGTCTCCAGTGGCCCCTCCCCCAGCCCTGGGGTCCCCTTGGCCACCCATGGGGGCTATGGTGGCCCCTCAACCAGCCCCGGGGCCCCTTGGTCACCTGCGGGGTCTCCAATGTCCCCTCTGCCAGCCCTGGGGTCCCCTTGGCCACCTGCAGGGTCTCCAGTGGCCCCTCCACCAGCTCCAGGGTCCCCCTGACCACCCGTGGGGTCTCCAGTGGCCCCTCCACCAGCCCCGGGGTCCCCTTGGCCACCAGTGGGGTCTTTGGCAGTCCCTCCACCATCCTGGGTGTCCTCTTGGCCACCCACAGGGTCTTCAATGGCCCCTCAACCAGCCCTGGGTCCCCTTGGCCACCCGTGGGGTCTCCAATGTCCCCTCTTCCAGCCCCAGAGTCCCCTTGGCCACTCCTGGAGTCTCCAGTGGTCCCTCCACCAGCCCTGAGGTCCTCTTGGCCACCTGCGGGGTCTCTAATGGCCCCTCAACCAGCCCTAGGTCCCCTTGGCCACCCGTGGGGTCTCCAAAGTCCCCTCTGCCAGCCCCAGGGTCCCCTTGGCCACTCCTGAGGTCTCCAGTGGTCCCTCAACCAGCCCCAGGTCCCCTTGGCCACCCATGGGGTCTCCAATGGCCCTTCCACCAGCCCCAGGGTCCCCCTGACCACCCGCAGGGTCTCCAATGGCCCCTCAACCAGTCCTGAGGTCCCCTTGGTCACCCACAGGGTCCCCAGTGGCCCCTCCGCCAGCCCTGAGATCCACTTGGCCATCCCTGTAGACCCCAATGGCTCCTCAGCCAGTCCCAGGATCCCCCTTATCCACTCCTGAGGTCTCCAATGGCCCCTCAACCATCCTGGGGTCCCCTTGGCCACCCGTGGGGTCTCTGGCGGCCCCTCAACCATCCTGAGTGTCCCCTTGGCCACCCACAGGGTCCCCAATGACCCCTCCACCAGCCCCGGGGTCCCCTTGGCCATCCCTGTAGACCCCAACGGCTCCTCAGCCAGCCCTGAGGTCCCCTCAACCCACCCTAGAGGCCCCTCAACCTTCCTGGGCATCCCCTTGGCCCTTCCCAAGGGTCTCCCAACCATCCTGGGCGTCCCCTTGGCCACCCGCCGCGTCCCCGGCACCCGCTGACGCTCCGCGCGTCCGCAGGGCACCCGTTCATCATGACGGTGGGCTGCGTGGCCGGCGACGAGGAGTCCTACGAGGTCTTCAAGGAGCTCTTCGACCCCGTCATCCAGGACCGCCACGGCGGCTACAAGCCCACCGACAAGCACCGCACCGACCTCAACCACGAGAACCTCAAGGTGACCGGACGCCGGGGCCCCTCGTGGGTGCCTGGGGTCCTCGTGGGTGCTGGGAATGGGTGGAAATCAAGGAGACCCGGGTCCCTCATGGGCGCGCGAGGGGCTGGCGGGGGCATAGGGGACCCCGGGGCCCTTGTGGACAG